GACACACAGACAGAGAGAGAGAGACAGAGAGAGACAGAGAGACACACTGAGAGAGACAGAGACAGAGAGAGGGAGAGACAGAGAGAGAGAGAAATAGACACACACATGCAGAGAAAGAAAGAAAGAGAGACAGAGACACATAGAGAAAGACAACAGAGAGAGAGACACAGAGAGAGAGAGACAGAGAGACAAATACAGAGAGGGACAGAGACAGACAGACAGAGAGAGAGACACACACAGAGAGAGAAACAGTGAGAGAAAGAGAGAGAGAGAAAGAGAGACGGATACACACACAGAGAGAGAAACAGAGGGAGAGGGAGAGACAGACAGAGAGAGAAAGAGACACACAGAGAGAGAGACAGAGAAAGAAAGAGAGGGTGGGAGAGAGAAAGAGACAGACACACACACAGAGAAAGAGTGACACACACACAGAGACACACACACACAGACAGAGAGAGAGACAGAGAGACAGAGAGAGAGAGAGACTGAGAGAGAAATAGGCACACACATACAGAGAAAGAGAGACAGAGACACACAGAGAAAGACCAACAGAGAGAGAAAGACGACAGAGAGAGAGACACAGAGAGAGAGAGACAGAGACAGAGACAGAGAGAAAGAGCACCAGCTTCGTGGCTCTGCTGTCAATTTCTGGAGGACCCGGGAGAATCCCGATCTAACTTTTTCCCACTTTCTCTTTATCCGCTGAAGCCCGTTCCCATACTAACCTATACTATTTCAGATAAGTGACTGTCCAGTCTCTTCTTTAAAAACTTCCTGTGATGATGGGATTAAAAAAATTTTTTACTACCGGTTCTGTGGGCATGGCTTGGTGGGCTTGGCTTGGCTTGGTGGGTGTGGCTGGGGAAAGATACTGTAAAATCTCCATTCCCTCCTCATTCCTGGGGGAAGGTTACCGCTGGTTCTCCGAACTACTCAAACTTTCTGCTACCGGTTCTCCAGAACTGGTCAGAGCCTGCTGAATACCACCACACAAACTGTTCCAATGGTTAACTTTCCTCACTTTTAGGAAGTTTCTCTTAATTCCAGGTTGCTTCTCTCTTGCATTAGTTCCCAACCATTGTTTCTTGTCCTGCCCTCTGGTGATTTGTAGAATAAGTTGACCCCCCTTCTTCTTTTGTGACAGCCCCTCAAATAGTGAAATATTGCTATCATGTCACCCCTAATTCTTCTTTTCTTTAGACTAGCCAAACCCAAATCCTGCATATGGTTTTAGTCTACAGGCCTTTGATCATCTTAGTTCCTCTTCTCTGGACTTTTTCCAAAGTCCAGACATCTTTTCTGTAGTAGGGTGACCGAAATTGATTGCAGTCTTAAAATGGTCAGGGAGACATTAAAGGGGCCAAATTTATGGTAAAACCACTTCTGGCCCAGTCGGATTGGCCTTCTATCTTGAGACGTGTTGCCATTATTCCAGGTTTGGAACACTTCTGCCTTAGATATTTTGCACATCTCTAGGCTCAGCCAAGGTAATTTCTGGTGAAGTTCTGTGGATTGTGGCAATCCCAATGTAGGACTTTTTTTTTTTTTTGCAAAGTTGCAAAAAATGTTGGTTGGGAATTGATGTGCAACACACTTGGAGAGCTTCAGTGGGGAGAAAGTTGCCCTAATACAGGTAGTCCTCAGCTTATAACTGAGCCCAAGATTTCTGTTGCTAACTGAAACAGTTGGTAAGGGAATTTTACTCCATTTTACAATCTTCCTTGCCAGAGTTGTAAAATTAATCACGGCAGTTGTTAAGTTAGAAATGCGATTGTTAAGCAAATCCCTGCAGTTCTTAAATTGGTAAGGTTAGATTAGATTAACAGAGTTGGAAGGGACCTTGTAGGTCATCTAGTCCAACCCCTTGCCCAACAGCAACAGTAACCCGGTTGTTAAGTGAATCTGGCTTCCCCATTGACCTTGCTTGTCAGAAGGTCGCAAAAGGGGATCACGTAACCGTGGGACAGTGCAACCGTCATAAGAACGAGCCAGTTGCCAAGCATCCAAATATTGATCATGTGACCATAGGGATACTGCAACGGTCATAAGTGTGGAAAAAACAGTCATAAGTCACTTTTTTTGGCGCTGTTGTACTTTGAACGGTCGCTAAATGAACTGTTGTAAATCGAGGACTACCTGTATTCTGCACAGCTGCACTGGTTAATCTTGGCTTAGTATATTTGGAGTCTACTGGTATTCACTGTTCAAAAATCTAAACGCATGACCATCTTGTATTTTATTTTTTTCCAGGTATTCTCGACCAAACCTGTATTAAACAAGTAAGGGTTTGTTTGTTTTTTAAAGTAAAATGCATTCATTTTGGATTTCACACAGTGGCCCCCAACCTTTTGGGCACCAGGGACCAGTTCTGTGGAGAGATATATTTTTTCGTGGGCTGGAGGGGCCATGGTGGTTTCACATGCTGCTGCTCTGACCTAGCTCCCAAACATGACAAACCCTCTGAAGTTAAATCAATAATTCCTTTATTAGGAGCCCTGACAAAAAAAGTTCCTCTCACACAGCAGCAGGCTAACTGTCATGCCCTTGTTAGAGTCGGACTCTGAGGGAGAGGAGGAATAGTCGTCAGGGAGTGGAGGTGTGGCTCTGGAGGTTGTGGAGGAGGCTGGGGAAGGGCAGAGGCCGGCTGGGCAGTCAGAGGAAGAACCAGGCCCATCTCCTCTGCATCCTAGGGCATGAGGAGAAGGAAACAACTTGGCATATGAGAGAGGAAGCGGCCATGATCCCCCGCATTGGTTGTAGCTGGAGAGAATAGTATATAAGAGAGACGGTTAAAGCACAGTGTTGCCAGAAGCAAAGCGTGTTTTATTTTGAATTGAAGTCATCTTGGTTGGCGTCCTTCCAACAGACTGTGCCTTGTTATCTCCTTGAATTTGGTTATTACTTATCCTGGTCCCTTGTGGAATTTCCTTCATTGTGGTTTGTTTGGTTTTTTTATTTCACCTTTATCTGCTCATTAAGTTCGGACTGTGTTGCTTTCTTTTGAAGACTTTTTGAATAAGTTTTTATCTCCAACTGAAAATTATTGAAGAGTGGGGCCAATTTGGAGGCATTAAAGGACATTTATTTACATTTTGGATTTTGTTATGTTTGTGTTACACTCCAGATCATCACACTAACAAGTGTGGGATCCAGATTTCAACTCTAGGAAATCCATCGCTAATTTAAATATATATATATATATATATTCAGGGAGCTTAGTTGTGATTCGTTTGCTATATCCTTTTTGCTGCCGTATTTCTCAAGGACTCCACGTATGTCCCTGCAAATTAACATTTCAGGGAGCGCTATGAGCAAGTAGTAATGGCAGGAGGGAACTCTTGATGTCATTACTTTCAGTAGGAATCCCTGAAAAATCCAGTTGTCCTTTGCAAAAAATGGAGTTCGGCTGAGTTCACACATCATCATCTTCTTCTTCCTAGTATATTCCTGCAGGCGCAGAGTCTGCTTTTCGCATCATGGAACTCCAATTTGTGCGGTCAGCTGTGTCTCCATAGCGCAGGCCTGCAGCTTGCATATCTTTGTTGATAATGTCTTGCCATCTCTGTTTTGAATGCCCACCAGGCAGGGGTAGGATGCTGCCGGTATAACAACTGGTTCAGTGATCACATGCTTTGTCTGTGCACGTACCTGATGCATGCTTTGCACATGCGTGAACATCAATGCAAAAATCCTTACCTGCTATGTTACTTCAGGGAAGCAACACAGCTGAGGAGCGGCAGTCTACTCTTCCACGCTGATCAGCTGGTACGATAAAGGCCAGTACAGCACAGGGATAAACAGGCGGGGCCAGTTGAGAACCAGTTTTCTCCCAGCTGATCTTCGGAGCTAGGGGTTCACCTGAACCGGTCCAAACCGGGCAGAATCCCACCCCTGCTGCGAGGTCGCTGGCCATTGACTTCTAGTTGGTAGGCAGTCTTGGCCACGGTGGAAAGCGTTGCTCTCAGGACATGTCCACGCCGGCGGAGCTGGCCTTTTCTCATCTAATTGGTGCCACACCAAAACGTTGTTGAATGGTGTCATTTGTGATGTGGTCAAGAAGGGAGATGCCCGATGTCCAACCAAGCATTTGCATTTCCATGGCATTCAGAGAGCTTTGGGTCCCTGTTATTGCTGCCCAGCATTCAGTACCATACACTGCAACGGGGTGGATGCTTGTCTTGAAAAATCTTAGATTTAAGACGGGTTGGCATTCTCCTGTCACATAACACACCGGCTGAATTTGGTAACTTTGTGATTTATGGCATCAGGTTTATTGCCCAAATAATTGTCAGACAAACACAGACGCCGTCATGAATCTGATTTTTATTCTCTTCCAGTCGGGTTGGACTGAAAATTTGATCCATTCCTGGATTTCATTATTGGTTTCTGTGTGTGTTTTTTTCTTTTATCAGGCTCACCATTTATACCACTTTGATGAGTAATGCAGACCCAGACAAGTATCAGACTTTTATCTGGACCCCAGAGTGAAAATGTGTAAGTCCTGAGCGTTGTGGTGCTAATGGCCATTTGTTGACTCTTGGAAGTTCTATTCCAATTCTACTTTCATGTCTTCTAAAAATATTAAGGCCTCCATCCTCATTTCTTTGATTCCCTAAAAAAAACAGAGAAAGAAAAGAGACCCGTTGGTAGACGGTGTAGCGGAAGAGCAGGCAGAACTAGGGGTGGAATTAAGTGAGTCATCAAAATAGAAACATTATGTTGCCACAAACGGTCTAAGTGCAACCTCTCTTGAATTCCGCCAACTTTTATTTGGTGTGAGACGGACTTTTCTAGAGTTGTTGATAGAAGGCTTTCTTTTAATGTACAGAAAAAAAACTACGTTTTGAATTCAGCAAACTTTAATAAGTTTTATGTAAGCCATTTACAGACTTTTTAAAAAAATATGGTGGGTAGCATGATATCAAATAAATGAATAAAAATTAGAGATAAAAGGAATATAATGCCAATAAGTGACATGGCTGATTTTATTTTTTTTTACAAATAAACCTTAAAATGTTTTTAAAATATTCATTTTCTCTCTTTTCTCTCTCTCTCTTGAACCAGAAAATGAAGGAATGAAAATCTTTGAAAACGCAAAGGCAGGGGCTGTGTTGATTAATTGCATATGAACAATAATTAACTGGTGTATAGTATTCTCTTCGGAACTAGCAGCTTTAAAAGGAAGAAAAAGGAAATTACTGCCTTCCAGTCCTTAGTATGTGGGCAATGGATATTGAAATAATAGGCCTGGGATAAGAGCCAGCTTCCCAATCTTAGAGACAATATCTCTATCCCTGCTGTTTTTGATTAAACATCATGTCCTATGGGCTATTTTAGCCATTATTGCAAAAATCAAGCTTCCCTGTGGCTGTATGACATTGCTGTGCCTGATTAGATGCGTTTTTATTTGATATTCCTGAGAAAATGTACTGAAACCATAAGATATTTGTGGATCATATCAAGACTTGGATGGACTTCCTTGGATCTACGTCTCTGGCCAACAGCAAGACACCCTTGTAAATATTTACAGTGACTCTACTCTCCTATCTTGTATGGAAAAGTCTGGAAAAATGAGTTTGGACAATCTGTTGATTTCTAAGATGGACAAGGTGCTCCCTGTATCTCCAGCTTTGCAGATTGGATCTTAAAAAGGTAGGCCCTTGGTGCTCTCTTTTGGAAAACATCTCTGGGTGCCACACAATCAGATGGGTTTAATTCTTAGGCGGGTAGCCATCAGCATATTCCAGGCTGTACACTAGGCAAGGAAGTTAAAATAATATTACGGAGGAATTCCTCGAAGCTACAGACGGGGCAGAATGTGGCGGCACAGGTATTTATGGGTGTAACTGGGTACACCCAGGTCATGTCTTTGCTTTATGAGTTCCGCTGGCTTCTAGTTGCTGATTGTCACCTGTAAACCCTTTACACACGAGGCTGAGATATCTGAGAGTCTGCTTTTCTGCTATTTGGCAGGCTCTGTGTCCTGTCCATTAAAAACTGTCCTCTTCTGAGACCCAGGAAGAATGCCTTTCTATCACTGTATCCACCCGTTGGAACCCAAGATTAGGCTGGCCCCAACCCCGGTAGCCTTTCAAACAACCCTGGAGAATTGCCTCTTTTCCCCAAACGTGGAAGCTGGAGTTAGAAAGGTTTTAACTGTTTGCGTCTTTACATCTCTGTCTGACTTCGTATCCTTTTGCTTGCCCTCAAAAATGTCCTGCACACATTCCTTCTGATTGGACAGAAGTGTAGGAATCCAGGAAGGCTAAAGATTGGAGACCACATGGGGAATTAGATCTCAGCATTCATACAGTTTGAGATAAGGGTTAAGGCACCGGGTAGAAACCAGGAGACCATGAGTTCTAGTCCTGCCTTAGCCATGAAAGCCAACTGGGTGATTTTGGGCCAATCAACAGGACATGGTGACTTCTAGGCCCACCTTAAGCATGAAAGCCAGCTAGGTGACTTTGGGCCAATCACTCTCTCTCTCTCTCTCAGCCCAACCAACCTCACAGGGTTGTTGTTATGGGGAAAATAGGAGGAGGAAGGTGCATTTAGATATGTTCACTGCCTTGAGTTATTTGCAAACATAATAAAGGTGGGAGATACAGCGAGAGAGAAAGAGAGAGAGGAGAAAGAGAGGGTACAGAATAATAGAGTTGGAAGGCACCTTGGAGGTCTTCTAGTCGAACCCCCTGCCTAGGCAGGAAACCCTACACCACTTCAGACAAACAGAGACAGAGAGAGATGATAGAGAAAGATATACACACTTAAAAAGACATCCCTACAATTATTGTCTTCCAGAAACCGGGTTGTTATTTAGGACAGAACTGTTCACTGCAGCTGATGGATGGCCTACTTAAGCAAATTCCCCACACTATGTGTCATCTTTTACCTCAGGAGGTAATGCATATGGATTAAGATGTAAGTCATATTACAGGTTGAAGAAGCGCAGTAGGCATTTAACAAAGCCAATTATAACATCCACACATTCTCTTAGACGTGGCTCTAATCCAGCAGAGGACGTTTGTTGAATTATAAAAGCTTTGTAATCCTGTTTTCGTTCCACTGCTTTCTAGGTCGATATTTTACACAAGTTCAGATTTGCTGATACAACCCACACCTGATATAATCACTAATGATTATAATACACTAATCCTCTGAATTAAACTCATACATGATACTTCAGTCATCTCTTTCCTCTCGTAAATATACTACTATAATTGGTTGTGACAGAATGAGCGATGTAAGCAGATAATTGGAAATGATGTAATAAATCTAACAAAAAAAAATATATGATGAGGTTGATTTTTCCCAAGGAAATAAAACTTGACTGATGAGAGTTGCATGGAAATTGCACGATAGAGGTAGTCCTCAGCTTACAACTGCCTTAAAGTTACCATGTGTGACCACAATGGCGCTGAAAAAAAGTCAGCGTGAGGAAGCCATATTCATTTAACAACCGTGTCCCTAACGTAATAACTGCAGTGAGTCACTTAATAATTGTTTCAAGAAAGATCATCAAAATGGGGCAAAACTAATTTAATCATTTTCTTGCTTAGCCCCAAGGTGCTTTTTTTCAAGAGGCAACTGGACTTTCTGGTTTGTTTGTTTTTTCTTTTGAAGATATTAGGCTTCTCATCCAAGAAGCTTCTTCAGCTCTGACAGGAGGTTGGGGAAAAGAAGGATTTGTACTCCTTGCAGACAGCTGGTCATTTGCATCCTTTCAGAGGGTCATTGAGGCCACTTGGAGGTTTGTTTGTGTCCTCAGGGTCTCTTGAGTCCTGGTTCCTGTAGATTGCCATTTTTCCTCTGGAAATCCATTCCTACTCCCACATCATTCAAAGGGTGCTCATCCCAAATTGTGTAGCTAAAAGTCTGTAGAAATTCTCAGCCAACAATGCAACAACCATGACCTGGATGTCTGAGAATCTACACTTTCAGCAATGGGGCTATTTTAAAGATGAAAAGACCATTCGCAGTCCAGGACATCGAATCACATAGCTGTAGGGTGGGAATTCAAGACTGCAACATTCAGGTAGACAGGATAGCTGTCAAACAGGTCCCCCAATTTTCCAACTACAAGAGAAAGAGTTGAAAAGTTGAACGGCAGAAAGAATGAAGATCTTTACATTTCAACTGGATTTGAGACTTGAAACCTGCTCCACTAGACGTATGTTTTTGGGGGCAAATAGGGGGCTCTCATTATTGACTTCCCATTTATAGGATTATGTTACAAGCGAGGATAATGTCAAAATGGCAACATGTGCCATGGCATCCTTTTGCAACTGACAAAATGATTCGCACGCTTCCTGCTGGTGCAGGTGTTGCTAGCTTGTTTTTCAATTTTAGCAACTTTATCTGGACTTCAACTCCCAGAATTCCTCAAGTAGCCATTCAAGGACAAAATAATAAGATGGTTCCCCCAGATATCAGAAGCGTGCCAACATCAAGTGTCAAATGTATGTTGGAAGTGTGAAAAAAAAAGAAGGCAATTTTTATCATCTACGGTAGATATGGGATAAAGCCAAAAAATAATAATAAATTGGACTAGGACTCATATCTTAATAAAGAAAATCCTGAAAATGGAGATTAAAATGAAACAGGGACTTTTCCTCTTGATGGAAAAAGAACGGGAGAAAAAAATGGGAGCTTTGTTACTATATATCCATAATGGCGAACCTATGGCATAGGTGCCACAGGTGGCACGCAAAGCCATTTATGTGGGCATGTGAGCCCCAGCCAAGCTTACCAGCATTGTACATGTGTGCACCTCCCAGCTGATTTTCGGTCTGCTTGAGGCCGTTTTCGCACTCCCAGAGGCTCGAGGGTAGCATCTGCAGCCTCGGGAGGCCAAAAAACAGGCCTTCTGGAAATACCGGACATACTGAAATGGGCCTGTTTTCAGCCTCCAGAGGCTTCCCTCAAGCCACAGGGAGGACAAAAACAGCCTCCCCAGGGCTCCAGAGGCCCTCCAGAGGCTGAAAATGGGCACTTCCGGTATTTCCAGAAGGCCCGTTTTTGGGCCTCCCAAGGCTGCAGAGGCTTCCCTCAAGCCTCCAGGAGGGCAAAAGTGGCCTCAAATGGGCCGAAAATCAGCTGGGAGATGCATGCATGTGCAGTGCAGGTAAGGGGGCGGGGCTGGGGTGTTGCTCATGCATGCTTGGGGAAAGCGGGGCACATTGCATTGTGGGTGCCGGTGCGTGCATGCTTTTGGCACACCACAACAAAAAGGTTTGCCATCGACTTCCGGTTTGAACTTCGGTGATGGACTGAATCCGTGATCATGTGTGGTTTCGATCCGTGCTCACCGCCGGAGAGTCCTGAGCCAGCTGGATTTGGGGCTAAGCCATCCCGTAGAGGTGGTGAAGAGGGGGGAGACCACCAGCAGGGTCGAGGAGAGCCGCATCTCTCCTCCTCAGCTGGCCATTACTCCCTTTCCCAAAGGTGGTTGCAGCGGTGGTCAGAAATGGCCACCGCAAAGAAGAACTCGACCAAAAAAGTATGTGCAGGAGGAAGATAAGAAGAGAAACTTTTGGTTGACAGGGTTAAACTGAAAAAGCAACAACGTAAGGTACCCTGGAATTTGAACTATAAAAAATAACATTGTTCCCAAAGAAGACTTTGAAGCGGCGAAGGAGAGAGGGAAGAGAAAGGATTTGCCTTTTTTTTTTCTTCCCTTCCTTATACTGACAGCTAAGAGATTTAAGTAAGAAATTGAGAAAAATCCACTTTGACATCAATAGGCATTTAAGCTGAAAATAAAATGTCAAAGAGATAATAAAGACTTTTGGATACTCAAAAACCTTTAAAAGCAGGAAAGGAGAGAAAAGGAAAGAATAAAAGGGCGGGATCTGGAAAAATGGAGGAGACTGCCTGGAACTAAAAGGAACTTATAGTGAAACCTAAACAAGATTCCTAAAAGATGCATTCTAACTGAAACTTTGTAACAAAATAATAGAACCCCAGGAAGAGAAAGTGGACAAAAGAAGCAAGAAGAAACAGCTTTGGGTTATTTGGATTACTTGGTGATTTTTGGATTGTTGGCTATTGGATTTCTTACAGATAATCAGAGTTGGAAGGGACCTTGTAGGTCATCTAGTCCAACCCCACACTCAAGCGGGAGACCCTACACCATTTCTGACAAATGGCAGTCCAATCTCCTCTCGAAAGTCTCAACTGATGGTGCTCCAACAACTTCCGAAGACAAGCTGTTCCATTGGATGATTGTTCTCACTGTCAGAAAGTTTCTCCTTGTTTCCAGGTTAAATCTCTCCTTGTTCAGTTTCCATCCATTATTCCTTGTCTGGCCTACAGGAGCTTTAGAAAATAGCTTGACCCCTTCCTCCCTGTGGCAGCCCCACAAATATTAGAAGACCTCTATCATGTCTCCCCTGGTCCTTCTCTTTACTAGACTAGCCAAGCCCAGTTCCTGCAACCGTTCGTTGTATGTTTTAGCCTCCAGTCCCCTAATCATCCTGGTTGCTCTTCTCTGTACTTTTTCTAGAGTCTCAACATCTTTTTTATAATGTGGTGACCAAAACTTGATGCAGTACTCTAGGTGTGGTCTTGCTAAGTTTTAAATGACTAAAATCAATCGGGTGGTTGTTTAAAAGTGTTTAAAATGGCACCACTTTTAGAAGAACTGAAAATGGAACTTAAAAAACAGAAAGAAGATGCACAAGAAAGAAGAGGTTATTTTGGCTTCGTATTTCAATTTTTAGAAACGGAGATCTGAAACTATGAGAAACAACAAGAAGCGCTTGTAGAACAAGAAGATCGGGACAAAGAAGAAGCCATCTTTAATGATCAAGTAACTATGTGGGGGGGGGAGGAAAGAGAGGAAAGAGAGTGAAAAGTTTAAGATTTGAAAAAAACCAAAAAAACCAATAGTTTGAAAAATAATTACAATATTAGGAAGCAACAGAAGAGAGGATTACAGAAGAGAGAATTAGAAGTAGAGAGACAAGGGGGCAAAAAGGGGAGGGAGAAGAAGAGTGGGAAGAAGGAAAGGAAAAGAAGTTATAAAAGATAGAAACAAGATATAGAGAAACAGGGAAAATGTTTAAGAATTGAAAGTATAAGCCTATTTAGAGATAATGGGTGAAAATTTAATTGAAAAAGGGATTCTGCAGGTACATAAGATAGTATTGTTATATTAGAAATAGAAATAATTTTAGAAAATATGAAACAATGTATGATTAAAATGATGAATAAAATACTTATGGGAATGCAGTGGAATGTTTGTCAATAAATAAATGAAATAAAGAGAATGAGAGAATGAAATTAGGAAAGGATGAGAACATTTTAATTATTATTAATGATTTATAAAAACATAAGTGAAGAGAAACATGAAAAAAAAGAATTAATTATGGAAAGTTAATAAGTGTTCCCAAGGAAGTATGATATTCAATTGAAAAGAATTGTTAAAG